TCATCTGAAGAAAAAGAAATTCACTAAAACCTCATAATCAAAGCTCGATGGCCTTAGAACTTGCCTATAGAAGTAGAAGGACGCCCAACTAATTCGTCCAATCGCTTTATATTGGCTTTTTCGACGGAAATATACTTTAGTGGAGATGGAGCGGAGAGAGTGTTCGTATCAGCGACACTTTTCCCTCCACCTAGCTCTGCATATTTGACTTTGCTGATGGGATCTGAAGTGCCCTGACTGCGGAAGCTAGTCTCAACATCACAGTATCCAGGTTTTGGGATGACTTCAATGCCAAATTCACGTATAGATAGCGGAGGCTTGGACTCAGGACAAGGGGTAGCAGGAAAACTTGTAGATTTTGTGGCAGTCTAAAAGTGTGAAATTCTGTGGAATTCTCAAGGCTTCGCTCTTTCCTTCCAAATTATAATTTGGAAATCATGACATATATAGTGAATACTATTTATACAAAAAAAGAAAGCTCACTTTTTCTACTACTGTGACCTCGTTCTTTTGGCGAAACGCTCCTGGCAGGTGCACCCTTTCTACTGGAGCTTGTGAAGACTTTGTGACCAAAGGGTGGGTTGGTCGATTCTTATTCGAATCCATCGAGGAGGAGGGTCTAGCTACATCATCTATTACGGTAGTCTTTGGCTGGCCAACTGGTACGGACTGTGAAGACCCATGCGGAGGTTGAGATGCTGGTAAAGCTGAAAGGTTTTCTTGAATAGTTCAGGAAAATCAAATGCGCATAAAAAATCTTACTTCTGATAGTTGGGTCAACATTTAATGCAAGATTAGAACGCTGACGTACGCTATCTGGCTCTAAATAGGCTTCTTGACCAATCTGCTCATAAACTGGATCATATGTTCGTCGTGACGAAGGCTGCCTGCTGTCATTGTCAAAATACAATCTCTACATTCATTTATACTATATTTCGTATTACCTCGTGCCTGAAAGGCTCGAAACTCCCACTGATATATCGTCACATGGGAGATACTCATAAGTAATATCGCTATCATCAAAGT